CCCCCCCCCCCCTCCAACCACAACAATAAAAAAAATGAACAAAACGAAGAGATTTCCCTGTTGAAGAACGCACCTAGACTGTGTTCACAGACGAAGGACATCTGCATCTCACAAGGCACGTCCTGCCATCGACCATCAACTGTGTGGCTCACACAACCCTCGTTAGGCTTACGATCGGGCTCATCCTTGTCCCAGAGGGTGTACTTCACAGGCCATGTGTCCGACCATGTAAAAGCTTCTGTAGCCTGGGGGGGAAGGGGTGGGAAATATGGATGATGGGGCGGGGAGGGTTGGGAGGGAGTGGGAAGGAGGAGGAGGGGATGGGGAGGGATGGGGAGGAGGGAAAGAGGGAGAGTTATTATATTAATAGGTACAATATTGACAGTGTTATTCAGAAATACCAGATCTGATATCTTTTGAGAGGTATCGTGGATTGTCCATGGTCCCTCGAGAAGAATCCTACTTGAGCCCTTACCCCCCCCCCCCCCCCCCCCCCCCACACACACACACACAGACAAACACATACACAAAAAAATTTTCTCAAGCCTCAATTATCCGTGCGTCTCACCTCACATAGAACGATTGCTAGATGTACACCATAGAGCGACACGGTGTGCATTTGGTGTTCAGATGTGTAAAGACATCGCGTTACGGTGAGCATCAGAACTGGAGAGTTTAACTTTAGTTCTAATAAGAGTTTTACGGCACTTGCAACACATTGTTCATATATATGAGTGCAAAAGATGATAGATGTTACAAGAGAGTAACAAACACGAAAATGAAAAAGGAGGAGAGATAAGGACAATAGATGTTTGGTAGGAAAAAAGGATCAAACCACACCACCCACAGTTTACTGGCAAGAGAGAGGATTGAGAAATAAGACAAAAGGAGAGGGTGTAGAAACGGTTCTGTGTTTTTTAACTTACAAGGTCGTATTTCAAACCTAGCCACATCTGCAGATCACGGGCAGCTCCCAGGGTCAGAAGTTCAATGAAGTCTTGCTCAAACCTGAAAGAATTGAACACACAGAGGTCAGTCAGAATTGTTCTTATGGATGGTTTACTGTTGTGGCTTTCATTACCTGTATGTCAGATCCTAATACCACTACTCAATTGATGCCTCCCTTCAACAATTCTGTCTTCCAACCATCAATCCTTTTCTCTACTTGACAATTCATTGATCCATCCATCCTCCTATCCATCCCGACCTATACTGCCTCTTTCCTCTGTCTATCCATCTGGTCAAGACAGAGAGAGAGAGAAAGAGAGAGTGAGAGAGAGAAGAGAGA